GACCTTTTCTACTTTAATATAAAGTATTGTAAACCTCTTATTCAAAAAGCAAAAATCAGAAAAAGTTTCTTAGCCAAACACCTTTTCAAAATTGTTGTCTGGCATGGCACAACCTTAAGCAGTTTCTTTTGGTGTAGCAATTCTTGTATTTTTCAGTCAGGTTAGGTCTCTGTGAGTATTTTAGATTTAAGGCAGACAATACACAGTTTAGAAATATATGAGCACATATTTGTCATGGTATGGCATTTTCAGTAGGCATCAGTTTTTCATAAATGATTGTGCATTTCACATTTCAGAAAGCTTCTTCAGTGTCGAACATCAACCTTTTTCCATCAGTCGTCTTGTTCTTCTACACTTCTACTTTTGCTCTCAGAACTCTATTCTCTAGGTGTCTGTGATCATACATTCCTAGAAAGCTTGCTTTCTGTACACAAGAATTAAATTTCTTCATACTTCATACAGTAACAACTTTTCCCATACATTTCAAGGCAGTTAGTCAACATCTCAACTAAATGCAACAATTAAAAATTTAATTTCTGGAAAAAAATTAAAGTAATTTTTCATATGTTTTTACAGTTATATTCATCTGTGTGTTTAGTAACAATTATGTCAACTATGGAAGCTTTTAATGAATACTAGGACTTGACAAGAATAAAGGATTTCTTTTCCTGAAAATTCATTCCTCCTCTGGCTTATTACATGACTGTTGCAAGGCTGAAGAATGTATTTAAAAACTGATTTGAAACTTAACATATTTATACTGATAGACAACAAACCCAATATTATACTAGACAATACTTGTTTGCAGAGATTCTATAAGATATATTGTGCACTTACAGAAAAATTCTTTCACTTCAAATAAGTGCAAAGCAGTGGTTAGTATTTTAATTCTACACTGTAGCAGCAGTCATGTATGCATAAACCAGCACTTTTTCTACAAAAAAAAAAAAATAAAATCACAGCATTTTGGGTAGCATAATGATTACACAAAAGTATGACAAACGCCATGCCAAGTGAAGAAAGTTTCTAAAACAAAGAATGGAGTCTGTTAATACAAAGGCTATATAAAAATAACGGCATTATACAGCGCTACTGTAGATCTGAGAGCTTTTGAAATGCAGTGGGCTTTGTTTGTGTGTATGTTAGGTTTTTTTGTCTGTGTGTTTTTGTGGTTTTTTTTTGTTTTGTGTGGTTTGTTTTTTTTTTTAAAAGTTACTACAAATGGCAGTAGCAAAGTCAGCAAAATCACTGCATTTACATCCTCAACAGCTTTTTGAGAAAGCCATTTGGTCTGCTCCAGGACCTAAATATTGATGCTACAGATGATCACACATCCCCCGAGAGTCCTAAGCACTACTTGGTCCTATTCACCCAGCTAAGAATATTCATGCCGAATGGTCAAGCCCTTTGCACAGACAGACTTGTTACAAAAGACTATATGATCCTGACCAATAGCACAAAATTATACTGCTGTGTAAAGATACATCTTTAAAAATTATGAAGTAAAAAAAATTATCCCACAAGACATTTAAAAATTATCCTTGAGATCAACACTATATTTATGCAATCAAATAGACTATGTAATCAGTCATACTGTACTAGAACAAGAAAAAGACTTTTTATTCACTTGAAAAAATAGCAGACTGGAAGATTTCTTCATTGCATTACACAAACTTCCCTGAGCTTTTTACATAAATTACGTTTAGTCTACTATTTATTGGAAACCAGTTAGCTACTGAGTGTCATACACTGCAAATTTTACAGAATTCCTGCATATGTTATCCAGCTAAAATGCTGTTTCTATGCTTTAAAGCTTTATCTTCTTCTGTTACAAAAAACACGTATGCACAACAGACTACAAATGCAAAGACATTTTTCCACTACATTTTAAATCTTCAAACCAATGTATAGAAATGGAGAAAATGGAGGTTAAGTTGAACAAAGCACTTTAAAGTTCTTTGCAGCCTAAAAACTGATTGTGAAATTAATTTAAAAAATTATCTATGCAAGTGCTTGGTGGCAAGAAAACAAACAGATATTATTAAATTCAATGGGCATAAAGAGGGCAGATGCCCTCCCTATTTAGCAATCTCCCACATTATAAAATCATAATTTCGTATGAGTGATTGTGGGAGAGAAACATCAGAGTGGTACAAAACATTGCTATACTGGCACTATGTTACTCTAAGTAAGGATTTTTTTATTTTTTAAATTTTTTTAAAGTTGAGGTACTTAAACTTCTGATAAGATGGATGTAGTTAACCACAAATGTTAAAAATGAACACTTCATCTTAAATACAAATCTGGATGTTAGGTCAGTTTGCCAAGTTGTATATCCCCTTAACTGAACTTCTTTCAGCAAAAGCCTAAGAAGAACAAGCATTGTACTTCGCAAACAATAATGCTTAAGTAAAAATAACAAAAAAAAGATTATTTGAACTAAAAATAAACAAAACTTGCAACTTTACTGCTTTGATATATGAGATTATCCCCAAGTTTTATGCCTGGAGGCAAAACCAAAGAGTTGTCCATAAATTTTTGTTGGACTTATTTCAAAAGTTGAATTATACAGCATAAGTAATCTGTTCAGGTAGCTCTGATCTCCTTCCAGTTCTCAGTAACTGGGATCACAACCTTGCCCCCCAATAGAGTGTGTACCAATTGCCCTTGTAATTCCTCCTTCCAAATAGTCTCGTGTTGGGTATTACCACAGAAAGAAATAGGAGGTAACTTGGGCCGCTTCATTACGGAATAGACTTGATGCAGTTGTGACTGGCCATGTGAGATAATGGGCCACAAGCATGTGTTTTCGTGTACTGGAAGGAAGGTGTAAGGTGATCACCTTAACAGCAAAGTGAGGAACTGTGAAATGAGGGGCATTTTCTAGATTTTGAACTCTGTTTTAAAAAAGTTCTCAATTTATAGATACACTTATGACTGCATGAAAACTACAAAGATGGAAAGAATAAAAGAGCAGCATTTAAAAGCAGTGTATTTAGCTTTTTTATATTCAGAAACAAACTGAAGACACTGCTTTGTATAAAATGGCTTCATTTCTACTTGTTATCACTGTATCTTCAATTATATAAAGGAAATCTAATCCTTACTCAACACAGGAAAAAAAGAGTAAGAAAAAATGGATAACATGCTTGCTTTTTCATTTTAAATTACAATTTTCAGATATATAAGTAGATTTTCTGGCTCTCCAAATTAAGAACAATTTGCTCCCTTTCCCTCAAAATACAGTACATCACACAGCCTATTATATCTCTTTGCATATATTGCTGGCTGATAACTGATTCAGACAGGCACATTAAAAGTTTCTGGGTTACATAACCATTTCTATTTTGTTATATAGAGAAGCCATTTCTGCATCAAAAATGAAAAAAATTATAAAACTGTATTAACACAAGCCCTTGTGCAACACACAAAACAGGGTGCCAAGTCACTATATACTCAGTGTGAAAAGACTTCTAAAAGTCTTTCCTGTGCATCTGCATTTCAAAAAGGAAATACAATGTCTTTTCATCTCTTAATCTCAACACATTTTAAGTCACCTCATTTTTGCATTGCCAAATAAGGCAAATAATGGTGTTGTAGACTGACCATATATTAGATTATTTTATTTAAAAAAATAATTTCTCTCCCTGTTGAGAATTTTGACATGTTCTCATAGTAACAAATATATCCTGATAAAGAAAACCAGCAGGATTCCTCAGTATGCAGATTGAGATAGGGTGTTTGCCACATAGATTTTACTTCCAGTAAAGGTAAGATGCACATGTGCACATATGTCAATTATACACAGCAGACCAAGGACATTTTGTTCTGCATTCCAACATATCCTCTGAAGGAGGGACAGTTTTCTCATCCACCCATGTTGTCCCTTATATGATCCACTCGCTGAGCAAGATCCCTAAAGGTAGGGCGCTGGGTAACATTATTGTTCCAGCATTCTTTCATGATTGCATAAATCTGGAGAAGAAACAAAGAAAATAAGTAGTAGGTAAACAGATCCTACAAATAGTTACTCTGAAGTGGTCCAAAGAACATCCAACTTAATCTTATGCTTCCAAGCAACAGTGGCACAAGAGTGTGCCTAAACCAACTGCCATACCAATAGGTATCTGCTTGATCCCAATGACAGCACGAAGTGAGGATAACTAGCTCTGCAAAAGCCCTTTTTATAAAAGGAGACTTTTTTTTAAGTTAGTATTGAAATTCACTCAGCTAGTTCTTTAAACTTTTAAGACACGTTATTTTGCTCAGTTTTTATCTTCTTTCTTGCTCTTATTTTTTGGAAAGCTCAAAAGTAAAGCATTTGTCATTTTAAACACAAGTCTGACCAAAAATCAGATTTATAAAGACAGCAATTCTAAATTAAGCTTCCCCATCAATGTTAACGTACACTTCTCCACAATTGTATATTAAATTCCTAATTATTCTTCATATATAATCAGAAATAAGCCAGAAAAGTTACTGTGCAAACTGAATCACTTCTAGTAGAAGTAGATTGAAATAATTTTTGGAGGAGGTTTCCATTACAACAGGCATTTGGCCGTTTTTCTCTTTTCCCAAACCTGGTCACAAAATAACTCGCCAAACTCTTCACCTGTACTCTTCTCACTAATTTAACCCAGATCATTATTACCAACTTCTCATATTTCCAACAATTTTTTACATGTTGCTTAAGAACAATATGCACAGCTACCAGGAAAAAAAAGTAGCATCAGTTCTTTATTTTTCAACACATCTGAAACTGCTGCATTTACCAAGTGGCTTTAGACTCAAGTCTTAAGCAGCTTGTAAGCTACAGACACCTGGAAGATTTATTATCTGTGATGACTGGCATTTTAGGATCAAAATGAGAAAAGCACAGTTTCTGACAAGAGAGACATTTCCATCTTGCTTTGGTATCTGAAGAAATGTCAGACATTGAAACCTCTGTATAAGTTTGGATACAGTTTCAGTAAAATAGATTATGTATTATCTTACACATGTGACATTCAGGTTATCTACAAAAAGCCAAACCTTTGCAATTCAACAATTGATGTACTCTACATATATAATGCAAGAAAGGTTACTTCAGAGACTTCTATTTTGATTCTCTAGAGGCTCTTTCTTCCATCATGGCTTCCCTGCCCCACCTGTACCATTCTTTCTCTTCTCTGCTGGACCACTTGACCCTGATCTCCTCTCTGTCTCCTGTTTTGAATGGACTATTTCTTCACTTATTGCCAAGTGTGCTTGATTTTAAAGGAATGCAGCAATTGATCCAAGCTGGAAGTTATGTTAAAAAGCATAATTATTTCACTTGCATCCTTTCCCTATTGATTCACCTACGCAGCCCTACGAGTTTGACTCAAGCTGAAGTACACCCTGCCCTGAAGAAGAGAGAACTACAAGACTTAGAAGAAGTAGTATGAAAGTATTATTTAAAACATCTGGAGTATTAGCAAAACCAAAAGAACACTGTATTAATTTGTATGTTTTGAGGATGCCTTTACACACATGTACACTTCAGCATCTACAAAGAACATGAATACAAATCTGAAGGCCCTGAACACACAAAATCCGATTCATGTACTTAACTGTGCCTACAGTCTGCAGGTAGCTCTTGGCTGAGAATGCTTGACAGTGAATAATGTACATGATAAACTTTGGTATTCCTATGCTTGTGGAAGGAAGAGCAAGAGAAGGAAAATAGTCAAGATAAGGAGTTCTTTAAATCTTGGAACTGAATGTGAAAAACCTTATGTAGATATTAAGATACTTCTGCTAAATGTTACAGACTTCAAGAGAATCCACAGTTCACAGCTTTGAACAAGAACCTCTATATGGGACCTCCATGGAATAAGTTCTATATACTAATCTCAGTGCCTTAATAAATTTATATTTTTGAAATAGAAGTCTGAGTGCCCCAGTACAGCAGTCAGTCATAATAGTCCTACTTCATATATTTAGAAAGACTACATTCTAGGCTCCTGAGGGAACGTAATCTAAAAAATCAGAAAAGAAATGTGGTTATACTCATCATGCAACTGATAATATAACAGCACAGCCATTCTGCTTGTACATATACTTCAGTAATCCAAGCAGAATGAAACACAAGGTTTCATTTACCAGGTACTGACCCTGACTGAGCACCTTTCAGACTATAGAAACATATTAATACAATACTGCACCTCATCAGGGCATCCATCTGGTCTTGGTAGCCGTCCATTATTCTTCAAAAGCTCTATCAAATGAAATACAATCATCTGCCCTTGTTTGTCATTGCCAATCATGCGCATGAATTCCTGAAACAGAAGGTTGACTGTCATAAATAATTTTTAAAGGAAAAAAAGATGCTGCAATATTCTTACCAAAGGAAAATTCTTTATAGCAAGAATAAATAATAATAAGAATAAATAGAATAGTATATGACAATGATAAAATTATAAATTACAAGTCCAGAGACTATATCAATAATGATTTTTTGTGTCTGTGCGGATAAAAATAGGATGATACATATATAATTTAAAGCAATAAGTGAAAAATCTTCTTAAAAAATGTTGATCATCATCTGATGATTAAATAGTTTAAAAAGGATAAACCTCACAGTTAATTCTAAAGAGCTCCCTGAAACATTAAAACAAGATCTTGATGCTCTGAAAACCCATCAAACAGCAAACAGATAGTATCATACTGATGTATTAAAAAAAAAGATTAACAGGATTAATCGGTAAGTACAGGCCAGAAACAGTAGCATAATTAAAGCCAGCAAAAATGGCTCAGATAAATCTTGCTATCCAAAAATCAACATAACCCAAAAAAGTAGATTAAAATCTCACTCAGATTGCCAGAGATCAAAAGAAATAGAATTACTATTAACCGAAAAGAATTTCTAAGCACAACATAAAGGAATTATTTTTCCTCCAATGCTACATAAATTTCTTTAATGATCCTTGACATAGAAATGTGAAACAACTGTTGGCAGAATGTGCACGCAGCCAAAGTTGGGGAAACAATGTATAATTGTAAAGACTATGACAGTTAAACAGACTGCTTTGGCTAACTGGTAAAATGAGTTTTTCTTGGTACATATCAATAGGACAACCAACCTGATGAAGTGGTGAACACACATGTAGAGTTGGTTTATTCAAAGTATATTCCACCTAAGCCCATGACTTACGCTACCACTTTCCATTTTATAATCCTTCTGGAAGAAGAACTCCAGGTGTCTGTAATGTTTATGTTATTATGCAGGAAGAGCTGCCCCTGCCTGCCTCGAGAGTTCTTCCTTGATAGCTTAGTCATTGTATCAAAGTACTAATAGGTCCACTGAGGTCAATGCAGAGACCTTCCAAGTGCATTTTTGTCTATCACCATTGTTCAGCTCTCAAAACTACACTTGCTGGGACTGAGAAACTGGCCAAAGGTGAGGACAGCTCCAGTAAATGTACAAAGCTCAACTCTCCTCTGTTATGCCTGCAGAAGACTGCAAGGTATAATTAAGATTGTGAATCTTATTTCTAATTGGGGAATTGTGACGCAGTATACAAGTAGTATTTTTCTCTGTCCACTGTAAATTTGTCTTTAAAGGTGCCTGTCAACAGTCTGCAAAAAGCCACTCCCTTTCTTTTTTGAACTTTAATAACTTACTAACTTGGGTTCTGGTAACATAACAAAATAACTTTAAGTTACCCTATTTAAATCAACTTAATGTTTACGTATTTGTTTGGCTCAGCCTTAATAGCATTAAAAACACATGCCATGTTGCAATGAAACAGTTGCATTTGGGATTACTCTCCACAAAGGACGAGAAAGAACAATCTATAATGACAGATTTTAAAATCTTTTTCCAAACAGTTAGGAGTTACACGATGGATAAGATCTGCACAGACTATCAGATAATTTTCAAATCTCCTTTCCTTCTTGTGGCTTCATACTAACATTTTTTAGCATGTTTCTGCTTCTGATTGGATGCTGCTTCATAAACACCAAGGTATCTCCAGAAAGGATCAGTAAGTATCAACCTATTTAGGTACAGGAACAAACTATATATTTTCAAAAATTTAAATAAACAAAAAACCCCCTCTGAGAACCATTAACTATGTACTTACAGCTGGTGGGCTTTTGCTCTTGTCAATATACGTGAAGAGTTCATACAAGACCACACCAAAACTCCACACATCCGAAGCCACAGAAAATTTGCTTTCTGTCAGGGATTCTGGAGCATACCTGCAACAAATGGCAAAAGGAATATTGTTCTGTGTAGTATGTGTCTTTTTGGTTTTGAAGGTATTTCTTTTAATAAGACTGATTTTTTTTTTTCCCCATGAATAAGTGTTCTTTGTTCATAGGCACTAGCACATTCTCATTTCCTTCCACTACCTTTCCTAGTAACTATTATTTTAATAATAGTTAATTGGTATTGAAAACACAAGCCATCTTAAACAGTTACTGACAACTATATCCAAGTTTGTTTTTTTCCCAACAAAGCTGGAGATATTTTTCTTATCTATAGTGCGAGGAAACAAGATTTTTATGTCATAAGGCCTGGAAAGAAAGACTTAATTATAGCCAGTAAGCATCCTTCCATCACTTTCAGTAAGCCTTGAACTGTGACCCAGGTACTTCTGCACTTAAATCTTACAGCTCCTAATAACATCTGCTAAGATGCTATTTTGTATTTTTTTATCCTTTAGATAGGACATTTTTACAGTGCCTAAGGTAGACTAAAATACAGACTAAAATCACATGTATGGAATGGCATTTTCTTTTGCTATCAGGGATATAAAATGGTTTTTATCACAGCTATTTGCCAGCATATTTTCTAAGATATTTCTATGTCTTTACAGAATAGAACTGAGGTATATATTTTCCATGTTGAATAAGGTCTACCAATTTCCCTTTCATAATCCTTCAGTCTCCCAGAGGCTACACAGAGTGTTCTTTCCCTTCCAAGACAAGTGCAGCTCGTTGGAACATTACTGCATTTTGGAGTAACTTAGACCTTCTTGGGAAGCTCAATGTCAAATATAGACATCTAGGTCTATCCAACAGATCTCAGCTAGAAGATACAAACAACCAGTGTCTGGAGAACCGAAAGGCCCAGAACTTTGAAAGCATCCTCAGGAATGGGCCCTTTTAGATTTCTTTCATCTTTGAATATCTTTCCTGTTGCATAATACTTCTTTTAAATATTTTGGTAATTTTTAGGTGGTGTTTTTTGGAAAATACATTGAGAAGTCCTACATGCTGTTCTGTAAAGTCAAACATTGTGCACGCGACTTTCACAATGCTGGGCAACTGACTCAGAGTTTGCACTTAAAAATTACACAATATGCAAAACAATTGGCTGAAACTGCAAAAAATGAAAATGTGCCATGATTTCATGTACCAAAAGAAGACTTACCAAAATATAGGGCTTTCACCAGGTTCTTTTACTTTGTAGTATTCTTTGTCTTGTGGCAAGACTTTTGTCAATCCAAAATCTCCAATTTTAACTCTGTTCTCATTCTCCACCAAGATATTTCTTGTTGCCAAATCCCGGTGAACGTATCTTTTTGTACCCAGATACTCCATGCCCTAGGCGTCAAGTGCACAAACACAATAGAAAAACAGTTACTTTTACCATTAAGTAGCAGGACTTTCCCTAAAAGGATGAATTAACCTCAAAGTTAAAACCAAACACAGATTTGTTACCAAAATCAGTGTGCTTGAACACTTGTCTTCTCTGAGGAGTTACTTCTTCCAAGTGCAGGGACTACCCTTACCTGAAGGGAGACAGACTGAGCACCTGCCAGAGCCAAGTGGTTTTTTGATTATGTAGCTGGATAGCTGTTACAGCTATTTCTGTGGCCAAATGCAGTTTGTCATTGATAGACAGAAGGAAAACAAAATTTAAGCTAAGCTACACAATCCAGGGCAAATGAGAAGACTGTTCCGTTTACTCATTTCATTTAATCTTTTTTCTTCACTTTGTACATCTGCTTTCCTGATTTCTTTATGAAACTTTATATTATGATTGTTTGAATTTGACAACTATTCTCTGATTGTATGCCCACCTATGTATGTGTCTTGTTTTTATTCTGTAAGGACCATTATTCACCAACACAGTTCTGCTTATTGTTATATTTCCATGGATTGCTGTAACAAAACATTGCTCCTAAGCCATGTTGCCTTTTGCTGCTGCTGATCCCTTCTTACCAGTGCACGTCATTCTTTTTGCTAACAATGAAATGTGGAAGAAGCCAGTGTGTGTAGTGGCATTCCTAAAAAAAGAAGGTCTTGCTTACACAGCAATAAACAGTGAACAGAAGTTGACTCTGCACAAGGTCAAGAGATATGTGACCCGTACGTGAAAGGAAACACAAAGCAAGCTGTCAGTTTCAGAGTTTCATAAGAAAGTATCTCACTCCTTCAACACAACTGAAAAGCAATTATACTAAGAGCATCACTGAACTCAAACGTTCTTGACATCAGTATTATACTATTAATGCCAAAAGATTTCCTTCTCTCTATTTTTTTAAGTGAGAAGCCTCAGAAATAGTTTGACTCCAAAGTCTAACCTTCCTCTCAGACCCTTGTTACGTCCTGGCACAGCTAGGTGGCATTGCTGCTTAGTCACATCCATTCCAAAACCATTCAAAAATGCCCTGTTCTTTATTACCTGCTTATCCACTGCTTATCCAAAAATACCAAACATAGCTTTTTCAAAGTGAGACTCCTGCATTTCTGATACAACCAGTCTATGTAAATGCTATAACTTTTTATTACTACTACACGCTGTACTGAAAACAGTCCTGAAGTTTCTCTGATGATAGTAATTTTTCTGTTGGCTTGGAAAATACCTATTCTAAGAGAGATACTTAATTGAAATCATGCAAATTCTAAGTGGAAATCATAATCCTCTGGCAGTACTCTAACAATTGAGCTGAGTTTAATTATGTGATTTCAAATGTTTCTATCATTAAAGCTGGGCTTTCCAGCAAGGACATCTGAAGCACTTCAAGAGATGGAAAAAATAAAGTTATTCTTAGCCTCTTCTATCAGCCAGCATTAACAAAATGCAGGGCCAAAAGAGTAAAAAAGAACATATCCCAAAAATGAGATGCATGGAGAAGTTAACTTCCTTATCTGCCATTCTATTGTTGAGATTCTTTAAAGTTGAATATAAAGTCCTGTTGCTTACCACCAGACACAAGCTAATGGCACAAGCTGCACCAGATGACAGCTGCGCTAATTTGCATCTACAGAAATATCACCACTAGCAAATAGCATCTCTGAAAACGCTGCTTTTCACAGTATGCACAGGAGATATGCATAAAAAATATCACCTTTAAGTCAAGAACCCTTTCCCAGTATAGCAGAAAGTAACCAAAACACAGAACATTCATCTTAACCCTCAGATATAGGCATGCCTTCATTTCTCTCATACATTTAAGAGAAGAGCAGTAAGGCAGAGGAAGAAAGATTTTTGATTAAAAAACCCCAAATAAGAGAGTGACAGAAATGCACAGCAGAAAGTAAAGATGTGAGATGCTGAAAGAGGAAACATTGCAAGAGAAGCAAAAACAGCTAAAAGAAGAAGGAAAAGCATACAGATTCTATTTTCATAATATTAGCTACTCACTCAGTTAAGTTGTTCTGAAGTAACAGAATGCTGCAGATTAGAGTGAAATCCTAAAGAGATCAATATAACCTCTGCTTTGCAGGTCACACAGCAACAACAGGGCAAAGCTAGACACATACACTGTAATTCTTAGACTTTACTCCCCTTACAAGTGAAGAAAAGATACTTCTTTAAGAGCAAGTCCTATATGCAGACTTCCCACATTCTCATACTCTGTGTGTGGATGCTTTGTCATATGAAAGCACGATGTTTTCCAACAAGTATCTGCAGAAGGCATATTCTACCTCCCTTCCTCGTGTTTGGTGCTTGGTACTTACAAAGCAGTTATTTTATCTGCTATTTTGATTTTTCATCACCATCCTGAGGACCTGTAGTATTTCGATGCTCCTTTTATATATGTGTATGTACACACACACATTAAGAACTTTTTTCTTTGTACCTTCTGAATACAGTTCTTTTTCCAAAGTTTCCTGCCATACTTGCACTGCCTCCAAAGGCCAAAATCCACCTTCCAGTCCTCCTATCAGATACCTCTGTCTTAGAGACCAGGGTCCTGAAATATGTTGTTACTGTTTTTGCTTCAGGCTTTGGATAAAGCTTTGGATAAGGCTTGAAGACTTATGTATCATAAGAAGCTGTGATGCTTGCAGAGTGAACAGGGCAGGCACGTTACAACCCTTCAGGTCATAGGCTGAGATGGCCATGGAATAAAACAGGTAAGTGGCTGCAGCCTTTGCATGTTCAAAAATCCCTGTTGCATCTTTATTCTATGAAAGATTCACTGTTGCCATCCTCTTAGGTGGTGCTAAGCGTTAAACTCTTACAGCACTTTGATTGAAGGAAGATTGTTTTCAGTGACTTACCAGCACTGATAGCAACAGTTATTTTGTTGCAGAAATAATACTGAGATAATTTCTTACACCTGTTACTAGTGAATGACTTCTCATTTTGGAGACACAGATGAGAAGGCTTTTTAACCCCCTTTGATCAGATGGTCACATGTTCAATCCTTCCTCTCTGTGAAAAGACTGACACTTGCCACAGACTCGTGAGCATTTGCTGTTTTCCAACCTCACTGCACATTGCTTGCCCATCAAGGACTTTTTGCTGGAGACCACCGACCTAGCCTTGCTTCAGTGACGCACATGAATAGGTCAGATCAGCTGCTAAAGATGCATGCAGCATCCTTCTCTACATGCCCCAGGTTCAGTAGCTAAAAGGTTTACTGAGTCAGTCCAGTTTCAACCAGGGAACTATCAAGGTCTGTTTACCAGGTGAAATGAATGCCTGGAGAAGATCTCACATCTGGCAGAGACTCTCCTGCCTGATTCTTGTCAGGCCTTTTCTGCAGGTATTGGAGAAGGAAAGTCTTCTGCTCTGATGTGGCAGGGCACAATTACCAGACAGAAGAATACCTGTGGGCTACATACCCTGAAGGACACTGACCAATTTTAAGTAACCTATTGTTTCCATGTCTTTGATGTGGGTATTGAGGAAAGGAATTTAGAAATATTTCTGGTACATGTCTTGAGGAGGTGTGTGTGGGAGTGTCCTTTTTCTGTTTCCTTCTCTTTTCTCTTTTCCTCCTGCCTCTTCCCCTCTTTTTTTTTTCCTTTCCCCAAACTACTGAACATGCAACTAAATCTAAAGTGTCCATAGTGTCTTATATCTCAAGCGTAATAACAGAATAAAACTAGGATAGGCATAAGCCCTCTTTCTGAGGAAATGAGATACCACAATAAAGATCAGATGCTTGCCCCCCTTTTCAGAATTTTATGAAGGATGTTCAATACCAACCATTATGATGAGCAAATAATTTATTATAGCTTTGGGCACTTCTATGGCCTCTAGTTCTTCACACAGAAATCATATATCTTTGCTCTTTCTGCTAAATAAGTTAATATTATTTATAGTTTAAATTCTTAAACATATACCTGCTGTTACACCGGTTATATACCTGAAGGTCCAAGTTCTGAAAAATCACTTACAGTATGTCATGAACAGTTTGCTACCTGCAAAATTTTATTTCAGCACTCATTAGGGAGAAAAGAGGTTTTAATTCTTCTGAATGAAATATAAGCTAACCAAACTATAAAATAAACAAAAATAAATGGAGTATATTCTGCTTCAGTCAGCAAACAGGCCAGTCTCAGCATCCTGTGTTAAGACACTCAGAAGTTTGTCCAGTTCTTGAGTACATGAATACGTATTGCTACTTTTTCAGGGTTATATCATGCTAGCAGCCCAACAGTATTATAAAAGATATACCAAAACAACCAATGATGGTTGTTTTGAGACAAATGAGATAAGGCCAAAAAGACAAAAATTTGATGAAAGATATCAATCATCTGAAATTTCCTACCTTGCATATCTGAGATGCATACAGCAAAAGCTTCTTGTGGTCCAGCCTCTCCTTGTGTTTCTGCAGATAATCTCGTAAACTTCCATACGGTAAATATTCCATAATTAATCTCAGATTCCTACGACCTTTTACAATAACAACAAAAAATACACTTAATTTTTCTGTCATTTTCCAATGACAGGTTTTGAAGTATAAATATTTACAAATCCCTATTAATAAAAATAACAGAATATAGTCTTAATACCAAAAAACCTAATTTATTATATGGACATCACTATACGATTTTTTTGTATATTAGTTAACTGCATTTGTTCAGGAAATGCCATTTATTTAAACACAACAATACTGGGGATATTGATATACAGAGCATGTGTATATCTGTGTTTATGTAATTCCTCCTTACTGTTGAGATTAAACTCAGAATGGCAACTGACATCAACTGGTCAGCAATTTTACCACCTTTAGAAACTCAATTTGACTTTGAACTGAAGATTTTTCATTTTACAGCAAGATCCTAGGCAGAACCCATGCTTTCATTCTTCAACTTCAACAGCATCAACACCTCACTCAAACACATCCGTTTCTGAAACATTTTCCTGTCTAGTCTTTTACCGTATAGGCTGTAAAAGAAGTTGTAATATCCACTCTGGGACATTACATTGAGCAAAAAACAACAACAGTTACAAGATGTTTGCATTTTCCCACTTTAAATGCTTTTTTAGGAAGACTTTCATGCTTTGAGATAAAGAAACTAATAACTAGTCAAAATGTTACTTTCTCTAAATCAATCAAATTATCCAATGAACTGACTGAATAAAATGTCCACCTTGTACTGAGAATTAGTATATGACAGACCCTACTTCCTTTGATTTGTACTCTCTAAGTCCTGGTAAAGTTAGGACAAGTCAGTGACTTTCAGAAACGCTCACCTCCTTGAATTTCTCAGTATGCATACTTCAGTGTACACCTGAAGGTGTATTCAATATAGCACATACCTGCACTGTAGCATACTCCTTTGTACTTAACAATGTTATCATGCTGCAGAGATTTAAGGATTTCGATTTCTCTTTCAAAGTCCCGAAGGTGCTCTTCTGTGCTATGTTGCAGCTTTTTCACAGCCACCACCTCCCCAGTGTTATCCTGCAGTGGGTCGTACCGGCACATCTCAACACTGCCAAAATTTCCCTAGACCACAAATGGAAATGCTTGAATTAAAAACAAGTCCACATCATTGTCTCTTTCTTAGTCCTTGTTCATACTACCTCAGTGCTCATTGTATTAGCATTAAGGTGACCACAATTCTACAAAATCACTCTAGAGAAAAAAGGGTGCAGTATCACAGGTAACAGATCTGTAAGAGTAAGAAACACGTTGTATGAAAGGAAGCAAATAACATGGGAGAAAACGACGACAAGGAGAGAGGGGGGTATCCATTCATTTTCTCCCACTTCTTCCACAGATTTTCCAAGCTGCCAGCTGGCATATTCCTTTTCCTGCACATCCATTCATTTAGGTTCCTCTTGGTGCTTAATTCTCCTCTGTTTCTTGGTGGTTCTTCACCCATTTGTTACAATGTTCTACCTTCTTCCCTTTCTCTGTTTGTATTTTCATTCTCTTCCTTTATGCAGACATCACTTACCACTCTGTTCCTCTCCCTGTGCTATGCTACTATTTACAGTCAACAACCAACCACCTGCAAACAGAAGTAGTTCTGCTACTTTCCTTTCAGGCTTGCTTTCAGTAGGACTTGGAGTCAAAGGAATATATAGCTATCATGTCAATAAAAAACAAAAAACATAAGGAACCAAAAATGGTACTTGGTGAAGATCCACCAGCTGCACTTGGTCATCCATCTAGGCACACTTTCACAGAGCCAGGACGCAATGACTTGCAAAACTAGTAACCAAATGCTGATTTCTAAAGCCTAAAAACTTCAAGGCCTACATATATCTCAAAGACGTTACTGAATTTAGGGACTGCATATTCAGACTTCTCAGAATATGCATGCACAAAAAAACCCCAACTCCACTAGTTCTATGCAAGACTGCCCTGGAGCATTTTTACATGAACACCAAGTATATTGTGAATATCAAGTATACTGAAAAAAACAAACCAAAAACCAACCAAAAAAACCCTAAGATTATGTCAGATGCAGCTCTGCATTACTGAAAAATATTTGTGACTTTTGGTGTGACTGGATTCACTGCAGAGGTCAGCTATCTTTCTTCTATCTAATGTTCTTGTGAAACTGAAAAAAGATCTAAAAGAAACTGCAGATTGTGGTCAGATATGACTGAAATTATTAATTTCTGTAACAGAAGTTTCAATGTAAATAATGTATATGTGGGGCCATTGGAAGACCGTTCTCTCCTAGGCAATTAGAGAATTTTGAAACATCCTACCTTGCCAAGTTGCTGTAAAAACTTAAGATGTCTTTCTTCAAATTGTGTTGGGTCCCGATCTTCAAAAGCACCAGAAAATCCAAGCGCTCCAATTCTCATATTTGGCAACATATCACTTTCTGTCAATAGCTCGTAATCTGAGGGGCAGGAGGAAGAAGGGAAGAGAGAAAGGGAATAGGAGACACAGAGAAGTGAATAGGATAATGAAGAAACTTAATACAATCACAGTATGTTCTGCCTTTGCTTGGCATACTCCAAGCTCAATAGAATTTCAGCCACCACCTTAATTTCTATATAGTAATTTGCAGTCAAAGACAAAGATGTATTACAAAAAAGCCAAATAACGTGTCTTGACTCATAACAATTCTTGTTTTAATTTCCCAGTTTTCTTTTTTGCAGGCTTATTGTACCTCAAATTTAGCAACTATTGTACAACAACTCTACTACTGCAGAGGGGATGAATGTAAACTTCACAAGGGCTTGTGATAACATGCATCTTTCACTTGAAGATACCCATTTATTTTATTGAGAGAAAAAAGAAAGACAGTCACAAACCTAACATATTTGGTTAAAAGACTAGAATGTTTGGGATAGACATTAATTAAACCGGAAACTGCTTTGAATCATAATGCTAACTTTTAATGTGTTATCTTTTAAATCAAACTAAAAAGCAGTAGCATAGCATCCTTACGAACTTAGATTTCCAGGGTTGCTTTGGAGAGTCGTTGTAGGTCAATGTACCAACAAGAAAGGCATCAAATGAAACTGAAGGTTCTTTTTGTCTAGTGTATTCTTGTTGTATCACAGACTCACCTGGAGTGAACAAACTGTTCAAGTCACGTATAATTGCTCTAAATGAAGGCCTGAAATCTGGCTCATAATCCATGCAATTGTTTATAAGGTTTGCTAGTTCTGTCCAGTTGGGGGCAGGAAGCTGGTGCCTATCTTCATAAAACTGTAGTTTCTGGAATTAAATAGATAAAAGCCATTTTAATACACAACTGTGAAGAGCTGCAGAAGCCTTAACATTCAGAGCAGCCAAAAATTACAGCTCTCAACCCAGACTCGTTATCTCACTGAACATAGACCTGACCAATTTATGTCAAAAGCCAAGGCTGATCATGTAGCAAGACTGGCATAATTTAGAGTAATCTGTTCAGAAATTCCCAGTGAGTTACGGGTGGAAGATATGAAAATAAGAGCAAGATGGTGTCTCCTTTACTAGTAATTTCATAAAACCTCAACTGTATTGGTCCAGCAGAAAATACTATCCACCTGTGAGCTGGCTGAGCTCCTCCAGTTGGAAAAAGCTTCATGAGTATTATGAAAGAATGTAGATTAGTACAGCAGAGGAAGGCAACTTCTGAAATACTCAGGTATCTATAAGCTAGGTCCAGGTAGACCTTGGAGCTTATTTCAAGAGCTGATTACAACACCTGAAAAATCAGATCAGGCTTTGTGAGAATGTAACAGTCCCTTTATAAAAATAATACTACAAATTTTTTTTGTAGCATAGTAAAGGAATAATCTTTTTGCTTCCAACTAAGGAAGCAAATACATAAGAAATACTACTTTTATGGAACGTGTTTCCCCTCCAGCCCCTGCTCCTAGTTGAGACAAAGTTAACATTTCTGGTTTAGCTAAAACAGTAGAATTGTCTGCAACACACAAAGTCTTACAGTATTTAAGATTTTAAATTCCTAGAATAATGTCAATTAAAATCCATATACATTGTTAGGAATACTTTTACTCTAAAGTGATACACTGTTGCAACAAAGCAAGAGAAACATGAACTGGCAAGGCTGTACTTTGTCCCCATAAAAATCAAAACAAACAACAGAAAAACAAACCCCAAATCATCACTTCTGATCATTATCTATCAGTAAAAGTCTCCTTTTGCTACAGTGGTCACAGGCCACACCACTTTACATGCTAATATAGTTACAACAGCAGATGTTTTAAATTAGAAGTGTTCGAAGAACTGTTATGACTGCAGACCCAGTAATACTTACTCTTGAAGAATCCAGTGCACTCAGAGGTTTGTCTCCTCCACTGCAGATTTCCCACAAAGTAGTACCAAAACTCCATTTGTCTGTGGCCAGGCTTAATTGTTTGGGATTCTCAATACATTCAGGTGGAACCCATGGTATTCTCTCAAGAAGAACTGTGCAATCATGCAAAGGAAACATCATGTTAAGATGTATAATAAGAAAATTCTGTAACATATATGATTTAGCAAAAATTACTTTAGTATTCATAGGTATTTCATTCTGCAATGTACTTTTAATACCTTTCCAAGTTTTTGTTCCTGCCTAAAAAAAAAAAGCTACAGAATGTGTACAAAAGTAGTATTTATGAATCAGAGTGGAGGACCATTAGTTTTATTGTAAAATAAGCCTAGTGTTATAAAACTGCCTTAACATAATTTCCACATTATATTGTTACTCTGATTTCTGTATTTCCCCCAGTGTTACCAAGATTTAGTAGCTACCACAAAGGAACTAGATGGCAAAGAGTAAAAAGTACTTTGCTAGTGGTTGGCACATTATGGCACAGCAAAAGCCACCATAACAAGGAATTTCATACTCTTTGATTTTTAAACATTTGATTCTCATTGTAGTAACAAATTAAAAGATGGTATTGTACTGATGTAGATTTAGAGCTCCTTAAAACGAGTTTTCGTAAGATTAATGTAGGCTTCACATTTAAAAAGGGAGAGTTTAAACAGTTTATTGGAAAATAATCACACTGCATTGCTTATAGTGTCTTAGATGCGTTATTTCTTTTGGCATGTATAAAATTACCAAGTATAAAGTGTGTTCATTCTCCCAAAATGATTAAAAAGACTAGATAAAGAATAGTACAGTTACTTCAGTTTCATTAGCATAACAATCTTGCACAAACTTTTAATTTCTTTTAATTTAATTAATTTTGCTGTTTATAAAACATTAGAACAGCCTCAATGGCAGACGATAATCCAGTATTTTTAGCATCATCAGGTGGCTTCACGAATTCACCAAGAAATGCACTGAAGATGATTTTCAACTGCCAGGCAGCATTTTCAAAAGCACCTTTACTTTCAGTTCTGAAATCTTCTTCAAGATATAAAATACAACAATTTAATCTTGATCAATAATAAGATACTAAGTCCAGCAGCTACCTGCAGATACAAGGGACTTACTGATGCTACATTATAGCATGTTAATTGTACTACCAGTGGAAAAAAAGTTGAAAATGAGAATAGCAGGAAAAAACACCTCACACAATGGAGAATTGTGGTTTTATTCCTTGTAGCTATTTGCTGATAAAGAAGATACACTCAAAACTGCTGACTAGAACTGCAGAGATTATTTTAAAGTGACAGATGGATGAAGGAACTTACTGTAACAGAAGTACCTTAGATGGTGGTCAGAAAAAAAACAAACCCCAAACTTATTTTTCAAGTCAGAAGCATTAAACAAGAAAGCTTACAATAAAGACTTACTGTCTCTTGGCAAAACTGTAATACTGATGCCAGGATCACTCAGTTTTATAAATGGAAGGTTTCCAGATTTTCTGTCTTCCTCTCTGATAAGTAACATGTTTTTTGCACAGACATTCCCATGAACAAGGCCTTTATCCTCCTATGAACAGAAATGCATCTTTCACATACTGACAAAAAATCTTATGGTTCAAGAGGTATTTAAAAACCAGTACTTCACAGCATGAGGGAAACATCAGCAAAGAAAATAATGATCATAGATTAAGTTGACCAAATCTCAGACATTTCATCAGTTTCTCTCAGAGTTATAGTTTCTAGCCAATTTTCATTCATTTATCTACCTAAAGTTTCGAGTTTAAATCTATTTCATGTATGTTAACTCACAAGAATACTGATCTATCAGTATGATCCATTTAAAATGAATATAAGAACATTTAAACTCTGTTAAAGGGAAGATTCATCTAATCACATATCCTGTCTTGAATAAAGGCCTTTAGGTTGACTTAAACAGACTGTAAGGTTGGGACATAATGCACAAAAAATAATGCACTAGAGGTTTGAACAGCACAATGTTTTCCCTTCCCAGTGGTTAACTACTAACACTACTAGGAAATAGTTTATGTTCAGTATCATGAGCTGAGGTGGGAAAACCAGGAAGGACTGATACCCGGGGTGGGGGACAGGGGAGGGAAAGAAGAACTTTTACCAGAAATGTGTTTTTATTTCATGTTAAAACCTAAAGCATTAAAAAAGAATGGGAAATTCAATTACACTTTGTGCAAGATACAAAGGTCTGTCCTTGGCTATCCAGGAACTATCTGCTATACACCCAGACTATTTTCAAATACCCTCGAGAGTTTCAAGAAGTAGGGTAATAGCTCAGCCATTCTACATATATTGGCCTGAAACTCTTGAATTCAGCCATTAACAAAACTGAAGAATAAACTACTTACCAGAAAATGCATGGCTAATGCCAACTGTTTGGCTACTTCCAGCTTCCACAAGATATTGATAACATTTTTGTTCTTTTTCAAATATGTGTCCAAGGATCCAAATTTTACATATTCTTGTACAAGGATGTCTGATTTAAAATAGTAAAAAGAGTAACAATTAAAACCAACAACAAATAATGGAATTTCAGGTCAGATTCATTACTCTAATACTACCCATCCCTTTCCTTGATACCTTGTTGGTGAACTAACTATAAATTTGAAGCTGTATGACATCTGAGTATTGCCATGAATATTCTATGTTCTTTATACTTCTTCAGGGTGTAGAAGTTCACCTAATTTCTTCTCAAATGCAAAATTACTAGATTTAATAGCTTTTACAGAATAGGTTTCCACCTTAACAAATCCAGTGAGCATCCTTCCACCTTTACTTGAAAGGCACAATAACTAACATAACTTCTGATAAAGCATAGTAGAGTACAGCATTTATCAATGTAGTGAGTCGAATAACGTTCAAGTCATTAACTTCATAGTCATTTACAACCTATACTCTTAGTGAAAAATACAATGCTTTGCTGACAAAAGATGCTCTTCTTGAACACAGACTAATATTTGCACTAAAAAAAATTTGTGTATATATATGACATATGCCTCCATGGAGCTATCCAGCAAAAAACCCAAGAAACAAGATCCACTTCATAGTACTGCACACTTTTCATCAGTTTCAATACAACAATTTCAAATTGCATGACTGAACTCTCGCTTTCAGCTGCAAGATGAAACAGAAGTATCTATAGACGGCAACTGTGATCTAAAGGAGAAATAAGTAACAATAAACACCTTTAGATAATTTTTTTAAAATTATACACTTGATCTACCTGAAATTTTATATATAGTCCCTGTGTACAGTACAATGAATAAACAAGGAAAAAACCCCCAACCCTCATGGGTGTTTTTCTGAAGAAACTGGCATAATAGGTTCTTGGCCAAACACGGTGGTGTGCCTTTTTCAGCTTCCTAAGAGAAGCAACTCCTGATACAGAATCCACTCTCCCTTTTGCAAATTCCTTCTCTCTTAATGCAGGTAACTATCTACATAAATTGCTTATACAGTAATAAACTGCTTCCTTTTGTTACAAATTTCTAATCACAGAGGAAAAAAATGGGTTTAGGGCAAACTGATATTTCTGCCCAAAGACTGAAATGAGGAGGAAAAACTGCCAAAGTGAGACCCAGCAGCACATATTCAAAGATAGCACATATAACCATACAAAAACCATCCAAAATTAAGATTTCATTACAAGATGTTATAAATAGATTTCCGAGGTTCTTAAAAAACCCTATTAAAACATAGTCAAAATGTAGTAAGTTAAACTGAAAACACATTCTACTTCTGTAGACAAAGCAAAGATTTTACCTTTGTTAACATTTTGTAGTGTTTTTGTTGAAATAATGGGACCTCATGTTTTCAGAATGGGACCTCTAAACCAAACTTCTCAAAGCTGGATCTGTGCTTACACAGTCAGCACATGGGTGGGAAAGGGTGGCAGCTTCTAATCACAGTAAACTAAGGTTTTCTTGGGTAGCCAAACACTTCCCTTTCTAGCTTACTGATACAATTGATTGTTGATACAATGTAGAGGTGCAATTTTTCTGGCATTTCAAACATTCTTTCAGAAATTCAGCAGAACTTTGGAAAAGTGAGATTTTCACACAGAACAGGCATGACTGAGTAATTTACAGAGGTTACTCTTCACATTGACTGTATTTACACCCTTTTTCCATTTTCTTTGTTATCACCATATTAACTAGCTCTCAGACACCAAGACTAATACTACTGCAAGGTGAACATGTATTGGGTGTTCAGCTAGTGTGACAGGGTTTGTTTTGGGTTTTTTTCCCCAGCTTTTACCCAGACCTAATGGTAAACTCTAATGACAGCTGTATAAAATTAGTACAAAAAGATAATTAATTTCTACTTACTCTCCTCTCCACATACGCAGACTCCATAATTTAACACCAAATGCTTGTAGGAAAGCTGGCTCATCATACTTGCTGCCTCAAAGAAGGACTTTGAGGAAGGAGAGAGAGATTGAGAGAGAATAAATATCAGTGAAAACAAAACTCCAAAACAATACATGATTTCTAGTAAGTTTATTAAAAGCATGTACATCTTAAAAAACATTTCAACTTCCATCGCATTGCAAAGACCCTGTATAACGTATTTTATACTACTTGTAGTTGTTTTAGGTTTGGGGTTTTTTCAAAAAAACTCATAATCCACATTCCAGAGAGGTTAGCAATCTCTTTTCCTGCAGGCAGGTGTATCTCAACATTTCAAAAAGAATCTTTACTTTAGTTAACTGACATGGAAGAGAACTGCAGACAAATTCATGTTGCACTATTCTATTCAGCTTCCAATTTATTCTTTCATAATGCACTATTCCGTTTCCAATTTATTTCTTCCTAGCACATTATTCAGTTAAAAGACAAGAAGTATTATATCACTCATCCACTACTGTGAGACCCTACCTAACCTTGTCAGGAAGGTTTCAGATGCTTTTAGTTTTGTAGTGTTTTTTTTTTTATTATTCTTGGCAGTGGCATCTCCAACTACATTTGCTTGATTATTCACCCAACAAAATAAGGTAAAAATTAGCACATTTTCCTTCAGGTGACTGTATTTGCATTTCTGTACTCTTAGTCCTTTTAGTAACTGATTTTCACTTAACTTTAGAAAGTATATTATCCAGTTTATTAAAATTAAAATATAGGCTATAATTTCTTTGTTGTTTTCAACTGTCCAAAGTTTATGCCTACATTGCTTATGAATATTAGCTATCCAAAATGTCTTTTCCTTTTTTGCTTACATTTTCATATAGATCTGTCCTAAGTAATTGAAAAAGTCAGTATACAATGGACTGGTTCTCTTGGCTTGCTGTAAATACAGCTAGATTAATTAGGAATTTGATACAGTTATATCATCAAAATAAACAGTCATATAAAGTTACATTAATATATTAAACACTACCACATCTTTAAAATTAAATTACATTACCAGTGTATTAGTTTTCGCACAAAGGTATTTCAGTTTTGCTCACAGCTTCACCCAAATAGTGAAAAGTCTAAGTGAATATGCATGATTCTACAAATGAGAAGTGTTTCTCATACATAAATACTTCTGATTTTTAATGCCTTTATGTGAAATGTTCATGTTACTGGAGAATGAGTGTGACTCCAAAACACTGAAGGTGAAAAAAGAAAGTAATTTTCCATAAATGTTGGCCCCATCTGTACATAATGAATTTACTGGTAAAGGCAATTCGGTGGCCATATCACCTGTCCTGTGGTACTTGTACAAAGAAATTGTTCTCTGGCTCTCAGTGGGACAGCTCTGAATTCTCTGACAGGTGGTGGGGAGAGGGGAAATAAAGTACATGGGTGTACTTCCCAAAGGCAGTCTCAAACCCATCCTCCCAGTCTCACAAGGCCAAGAATGAGCTTGATTCAACATACAACTCTCTATCATATAACAACTACTTGTTTATTGCAAGAAAAGTAATGCTCACTTAGCACAGATAAAAGTTACATAGCAGTCAATAAACACACCAACCTCAGAGTAGTTTCTATGCACTTTATCCAGCACCTTTAAGAGAACTTCAGTTTGATGGAGCTGCCCATAGTCTCCCACTTCTTTCCTTATACCTTTGAAAATCTTAGTAAACGTGCCCTGTCCAAGACTCTCCTCCTAAAAGAAAGGAAGGATACAGATGGGGAGAAAAAAAATAATTAAAAAATCACAAATCTAATCCTGTTTTGCAAAAGATCTCTTAAACAACCACCTTAAGTAATGCATATGCAAATCTTTACAGCTAGCACACCTCTAGAGTCAGACTGAGGGGACAAGGAAGCAACTACATGAGAAACAGCTTAAATCTTTGCTTATTTTTTACTGATTCCTCAAGGATCTCAGAAAATAACTTCTGCAAGAACCAGAGAGGAAGGAATTGCTGTTAAACATGTATTTAGACATCCCTAGAAATAAATAAAACAACTGCTATTGCGGTCAAAAGGACACTTCTTTTAAAAAAAAAACAAACAACAAAACAATTCTTTGTATTGATGGAAAATTTAAAAAGAAATCTTTTTTCTCACAACTCTAACGAAAGATTACAGCAAAATCTCCTAGTTCAGATAAGGCTCTTTTAAACACATACTGAGTTTTTTAAAACTTACTGTGCAGTAAAACAACCATCTGCAGTGGAAGAAGCAACTAATGGACTTACGAATATCAAGTCCTCATTCCGGATTTTGTGAAAGACCATCTGGTTGACATTATTGTGTCTCTGTAGCGTAGGTGATGAAGGTACATCAGAAACACTATTGCTTCTGAAGACCAGGAGATTTGATTTATCTGGGAGGGTGAGGAAAAGAAAAACAAAGTAAATTTGTAAAATATAAACCAATATTATTTCAGAAGGATTATTAACGCAAAGCTGTTAATCCAACAAAAAGAAGATACCACATTGAAACCAGTTCATCCAAAAAGCCACACAGCATTTCATTAAACAAGTTCAAAGTCTGATTTTTTTTCTAATCAGAAAAAGCATTTAGGTTCACTCAGCTATTTTAAGCTTCTTCAGTACTTCTACTTTTGACAAACATTCTGAAAATATTCCTGCCTCCTTTCACATTTTAACTTCTGGTGTATTTGTAATAACAATCAAAGACGGAAAAAGAGGATGTAAGTCACCTTCTTTTATATTACGAAGTCATTCTGTTAAAGATATGCATAGCTTTCTGATGCCTCTTTAAAGCTTTTACATATTTTTGCCCCAGCAGCACTTTACTGATCCTCATTGCCTTATGTTTACTGGAGTAACTATTCTTTGAGTGATTTTGAAAAAAGGCTCTCCATGAAGTAGAGCGGGTCTGTTAGTAAAACTAAAGTTGATAGGTACATACTTGTGTGTATATGCGTGCATGCATGTGCAATTATATTTATTCAATAATTTATAATTCTAATACACATATATTTTTGGTTTCAAAGGAAATAAGTTTACAAAATTATTCTCTGAAATATGCAAATGTACTTGTCAAATCTTTTCTAAGCTTTTGAATCTATTGGCTAATTTAAATCAAATTTGAGAGAGGTAAGACTGGTATCAAATAGTCTGTTCTCTCAAGTTTTCGTTTAAAGAGGGACTTGGATAAAGACTAACCAATATTAACTGCAAGTAGTACTACTTATAATAAGCAAAAAGTGCAGACATTAACAGAATTCATAAAGGAGAAAGATACTATGAATACCAAAGCTAGGCAAAAACGTTCCATGTAAGTTCAAAAAAAATCCACTCCTCAGGTAGAAGCTTTATTGCATCTGTATTTTTCAGTGTTAAAAAGAAGTTGATATCACACTGCAGCCTTGGCATAATTCAGCTACGACATCAACAAACAATGAAAGAAATTCAGTGGTATTGTTGGTTCCATTGTTTATGGAACTATTCTCAGTGAAAAATTATATATTTAGTAGCTCTTTCCTTCTCAAGACATGAAAACACTTGATTGAAAAAGAAATGCTGCTGCACACTATCCACTGCAATTAAGAAATCAGTTTTGCATCTATTCTTGAAACTGGCTACCATGATTCTTTCTCGAAGACGGTCTTATAACAAAGTAAAATTTGGCAGACAGTAGGACTGAAAGCTATGACCAAGAAGATGAACAAATAGGTCAGTGAAATTTAAAACCTCCCACACAAACATATATATCTACCTACCTGAGAGTCATTTAATGTTAACTTATTTTTAAATCTTTAATCTAGAAGTTGGAAACTCTTCTGTTTAGAAATAATCTTTCTCTTACCTTTTGGTTTTGGAGGACAGCACTTGATGAACTGGAAAATTATGCTGTCTGAACGGACAGTTTCTGTCTGGTAACAGGTCAACAGATCCTTAAGATTACCAAAACTCTTCTTGGTTCCACTAAGATTGTATTCTCCATTCTCATTCTTCGTAATTAAGCAGTGCTTATAATCAGTGGTATTCTCACGCTGCAGAGATTTTTTTCCATTAAAAATAAAATTGGCCAATATTTAGTATTTGAAAGCTTATTTAAATGTATACCACTCTACTAATTAAAGAAAGAATGATTCAGCAAAATATTACCATAATTCGGTATTTTATTCTCACTATGTAATACATGATTCTACTCCCATCACTGAAATTAGCATGTTGAAGCTAAGAAAAACATATGTTATCAAATCTGCAAAGATGGAGCTGAGAAAACAGGTAATGGATGCCAGGAAAAATCCTTCAGAGCTAGTAATGAAAGCTTCTTCACCCTTACATGGGGTAATATCAAAACAAAATTTTATTAGAAGCAATGGCCCAAATGCTCATGTTCCGTGTTCTTTTGACAAGCATCTGGAGATCTCAGCTGTATTTCTGTTTTTCTGTTGTCTACAGTACAGTTCTAAGCAATTAGTTCCTAGCACAGATTTTCAATAGGCACTGAATTATTTTTACAGTGAGTCTAGAAAAAATCCCATTAAACGTTTTTAAACAAGAGGAGCTCTTACAGTTCTTTCATGGTCCTTCATGTCAACACTGCGGAAAATGTTTCAACAAATTCTGACTCTCAAAATCTTTCTAACATCTTGTCCAGAAAGACTCAGAACAATTAAAAATGTGGCTAGGTCACTTAATGGCAGGCTTAACTCACAAGCTTGACTCTTGAACTTTAAGCTTGCTCAGGGACTGATCTCTTAGTCTAAAAAATTCCCTATCAAACACACTTCCCTCACTGGACATAAAATTTTTGTGAAATTGATCTTAAAATGGCTGTTTACTTCTCCAACCACACATCAACATTATTTTGTCATTTTCAGAGATGTAAGTATCTCTGACTTGAATGAACTTGCTAGCTCGTTACAAACCAGCAAGAAAACCCACCTATTACTTTCCATCGTTATAAACCCAAAGGTAGTTCTGTTTAATTAAATTAAAGAAAAGCTCATCCTTGGAACAAGATGGTGCAGTTACATAACAGCAATATTAAAGTATCGTTTTATCACTAACTGCCATCTGACAGAGAAGAGGTACATCTGGTTCTTTAACTGCATGAGAACTGCAGGCATTTCAAGGGTAGCTCCCACTCTAGCTAGTACCAGATATCCAGCAGGAGATCTGGATTGACGTAACAGCTGCCAAATAATCTGGCTGGCCCAGCACTGGAGATGGGGAGAGGACCCAAATCCAAAAGAACCTGTGAAAGAGAGACTCTCCAAACACCAGGGGCTGTATACTCAGTCTAACCAAACCCTATTAGGGATGGGGGAGGAGAGGTGCTGGGAGGAAATCCCAGGAAAAAAATCCAACTAAAAAACCCCCAAACTTTAAAGAAAGAAAAAATAATCCCAAACTGCTCCACCACCTAAACATTTACTACAGTCCCAAGAGCTATGTCACCATCCTGAGAACTCTCAGGCTCTATTCCCTCCATCCCTCTTGTTCTCCTAGGCATGTCATCAGCTGTTCTTTACCATGCAAGTACTTCGATATTTCTCACAAGACCCTGAAAGTTGGCCAATCTGACAGAAGTAGCTATAGAATATACACCTCAGACAAACATTCTGAACGGAAAATTCAGAATAATTTACTGAACGTCCCAGGCTCATTATTGTAATGCAATAAAGACTATACAGGTACTATCTAAAGCAGAATACAAACCTCTATAGCAAAGGTGAGGAAGTATTTTTTAAAATCTTTAGGACTGCAACGAAGAACGTAGAAACCAGTCTGATTACCCGCTTTCTTCAGTTTACTGATAGCAAAGTCCATGCTATAGTAAAAAGAAAACGTTTAATATTGCATAATCTCAAAATCCAGGAACATCAAAGATTAGCCAATGAGCACTATTATCCGATATCTAATACAACAACAATTTAAACTCTCAATTTTTTATAGCTTCCTTTAAGTTAATCCTTTTGTCCCTTTATTTTCCAATAGTCAGGGTGGCTGCTTATATAGAGAGCAGTACATTAAAAATTCTTCATACTGAAAACAGCACAATTATTTATTTGATGAGAAATCTTACAGCCTAAAAAGGTATATTCCCCTGGGTTTATGATATGATTTTCAACATCCATTATGAAAGAAGCTGTAATAAAACTGCCTAATAAATAGGCTAAAATTAGCAAAATATTTGTATGGGTGAAACAAGTGGGTTTAACTTGAGAAAGGGCTAAAGAGAAAGAGGAGTTGAAACAAAACATCGTTTGGTACTACAAGAACCAATTTCCCCTTAAACAAGCCTTGCTAACTGACTATGTCTATTCTTCTCAGAGAAGGAGGAACAGAATGGCTTGGAAATGTTCAGACTCATTGCACATCCTTCTAAACTGCCCTAAATAAAGGTCAATATACAGCATTAGTCATTAGTGCAAGAAATGTCATTAGAACTGTATAGGTCTCCATCCCTCTCCTCCTTCAACTCTTTTCAAGGTTATAGCACCTATCCTCTTTCTGTCATTGGGAAATTTACAGAACTATTCTGTATTAGCTGAGCAGACACTGCTAGTTTCATGCAACATATGTTGCATATATCAGGTTCCAAGCTTTCTATAGTAAAGCAAATACTCATTTTATTCTGCCTAATAAAACATTTCTACGATCCCACGTGTCCCTCTGCAAACAATAAAAAATACTGTATGAACTATTAAAAAAATTAAAGAAAAAAAACTCAATGAAGGTACTACGTTCTTCCTCCATAAAAAGAAAACCCACCAAAACAACAAAGAAAACAAACAAGGAGGCAGCATTCCTTAAAAACAAACAAGTCCTCCAATTTATATGGCTAGCAGTTTACTGCAATCCTTGCTCAAATAATGAAGAGGGTGTTACCTGAATTTCCCTTTTCCCCCTTGGCAACTCAGGTAATATAACTGCTAGAGGCTGCAGTGTAAACATGAGCTCCTGTGTCTATGACACTGTATGTTGCTGTCATGGTAGTAATTATAATTGTGTAAAATCAGCATCACGACTTTCCTGCCTGTCTCACTCAAAGAAAAACAGAATTCTAAGGGAAGAAAATAAAAACCAGCTCCTTCTCATTTATTTTTTGTAATACATCAAGAAGGCATTGTACTTTGCAAAGTGAAAAAAAAGAGGAAAAATGTAAAGCACTTTATGCTACATAAATAGAATAAATAAACATTTCAAGATGTCCATCATGGTTCATGGTCAACCGAAGTTCATCTTTCAAAAACAGTATCACCTTGTTATATTGCTAAAAAATTGCTTACAAAATTGGTCCATGGCAGTTGCTTTGGATATTTTCAAGGACTGATGGTGGTGCTACTTCTTTACAGAGATAATGGTGGGCATCCGCAGTTAATCTGTAATATCCATCAATTAATGATACAAAGGAGAGAGCTTCTCTTAATGACTGAAATTCAGCCTCCTGTTAAATTCCCAGGGCAGAAGGGTGGAGGGAGGGGGTGATGTGGAGAGAGGAAGAAGGGGGAAGAGAAAAAGACAGAATTTCAATTTTTAATAAGCAAGACAAAATTCCTGGATACGGTAATGATATAAAACATATAAATATATGCATACATTAAAGATAAAAAGATATAAAGATATAAAAGTAGTTTTTAACTACTGTTTGTATAGTCCTACCTTCCTGGTGCCACCCAAAACTTGTAAGCAATCATCAGTGTTCAAAATTAAACCCAAACCAAACAAATCTGCCATAAAAAAACCACTTACTCAAAATATATGAAACACCAGACTAATGCTGACAAGAAGGAACATTTGAAAGGGAAAAACTGAGTAGATACAACTCAGCACAGCAGACATCTACTGCACTGGCAACATAGTGTTATTTTTTTTTCCTAGAGGAAAGCCTTTGCTTATCAAAGATTTATGGAGCTGCCTTCAAGTAGCAAAGAAAAATCTGTAGAAAAGTACCTGCCTGAAAATTTAAGCAGTATTCAGCAAAAGCTGGCATCCTGAGCTGGATCATAGACAGAAGCTGACCTTAAACTGCTATGAAGAGAGGTACAATGAATGGAAGCAGGGAGAAAAATAATGTGGTCAAAGAAAAATGTGGAAAAGGTCTATGCAGAATACATTGAACAGGTAAGAGCAGGGCAAAATTAAATCCATCCGTAACAACATATTTATCCCACCAATAAAAGAAAATAGCCTATTTTTATGTAATTATCTATATTTGCAGGACAATCAGAGGATCAGG